ATTTGTATGTGTGTGTATACATCAGTATTCAGATCGTTTAACTACATGATTTTTATTTATTTTATGAGCGGTGAGATATCTTTCATAATACAATAAGTGAGGTGAAAAAGAGGAATACAAAGGTATTCGGAGCTATATTCAGAGCTTAACTGGATCATTCTGTGCCCAATACATAGGAGCAAGGTGTTTGATAGATCACAAATATTTAATGTTTATCTCGTATATTTCCGCGCATTAAAAGAGTTCCAACCTCAGCCACAATCACGTAGTCTTCAAACGTTTCAAGTAGTTTACTCCTCAGCTGGTCATAAGCAGGACACTCAAGAAAATAATATTTTGAATCTTCTACACCATTAGTAGAACACTTGTTTACAAACATTGTCAACTGTGATTCTGTTGTTTCAAATGTGAACGAAGTGCGCAGAAATTAACTCTTATACGACAGTGGAAAGCCACGATTAGGGGTGGCACATTTTCTTTACCGATGCGTTACTTTACTGAGTAAAGCAACGCTTTCAGATATCACCGTATGAGTGACGAACAACCGAAAATGTATTGTTTTATCACCTTCCGGACAAAATGCGACTAAAGCGTTACTATATTATGCGTTACTGGTAACGAGTAACGAAAGCGTTATTGCGTTACAAGTAACGTATAACGCAAGCGTTACTGCATTACTAGAAAAGTAACGCAAAAAAGCGTTAGAGTAACGCAAATAACGCTGCGTTACTCGTTACAAAAGCTATGAAAAATAAATGCATCTCGTTAGTAGTTACTGGTAACGCAATAACGCATGCGTTACTGCGTTACCTGTGAAGAAACGGTAAAGCGCCACCCCTAGCCACGATTCTTCTATTAGCAATGGATGGTATGATATTCTTGTACCCAGTAAGTGTATCTTTCATTTTCTGACGCATCTTCATCCGAAGCATTCTAACCGAAAATTGTGGATGTTTGACTAAAAGCCTATTCCATTCATTAATAGCAGTAGGAAAGAAAGAATTAAAAAAACTACTTTTACCCTTAAAGTCATAAAGTGTATTTGCACTAATTAATCCATAGCGAGCGTTAGGTAAGATGTACTGGAGGATCGAATAATTTACACGACTCAAACTCATAACAATCTTATAGAATAGGCACATTCCATTCACATAAAACATTTCATTCATATTCACTTATATGCAATGTCGCAACCAGGCGCTATAAACTGAAAATTCTTTGGCGGATCTGCACCGAGTGGCAGCGCGATCAGGTTGTGTGGGGATTGACTCCGCTTATGCTTTTGAGAAATTTCTGGTGAACTTCTCGAGATGTGTGGACAAAGTGTTTAAAAACGAATTGATGAATCGCAATTTTTAAGCGTAAAAATGATGCAACAATTCGCGTTTTGCCCTTATTTTGCAACATCGTACCGAATTGATGCGAACTGTATCGAATTCGTACGAATACTCTTAAAAACTTTTACCAATTCTTCTTGCGAATTCGTAAACAGAGAACAGATGAAACACGATGCTGATCAATTCGCAAATAATTCGTAAAATTAGTTTACGAATTAGTGTTTACTGTTTTTGGAACTTTATTGATTCGTAAATACGAATTAGCGAATTCGTATTACGAACTGATCCAGCAGTCGAAAATGAATCCACGAATTGACAAACCCATTCTGCAAATTCATTGTGAATCGATGTGTACGCTTATTAGTTTACGTAGGGACAGGACACTTTTCTCTGAGGTTAAAAATAGATAGATAGATTAGTCTCTTCTCATCGATTCGTATACTTCTCACACCAAGTCCCCGTTATTCTTACGAATTTGTAAAATACCGCATACTGTGTAAATACTCACAGCCATCCTCACTGCCCCCCCCCCGCGCTCGGCACATGCACACAAAAGGGAGAGAGATCCCCCTCTGTTTTGTTTCGCACAGATACATGGATTAATATAGTCTATTGTCACATTTATGAAAGGAATGGAAAAACTAATAATTGAATCTCGCAATATCATTTTACATCCACAAATAATTATGGTATGCCATAATTTACCTTTTTACTCTTTATATTTGTCTGTTTTGATATTATTTACCGTTGTAGTGTTATTTTGACGATAAGAATAAATATTCGCTGCAACTGAAACAAAATTACTTTTTTAAATCAGCTACGATTCAAGATATTTTAGCACAATTCAAAGCAGAAACAACAACAAAAGACTTTAGTCTGTTGCCAAATAAAGTAAATATGTGTACGACAAGATGATCAGATAGGGATTTCAACTAATTCGGTTGTGAACGAAAGCGATAGTATCCGTAAGAGAAAATAGCTTTTTTTATTCCTTTATTTACAATTTATTAAAATGATGGTGACGCAAGATGTATGCTAATTATCGAAAATCACCTAATTTTTCACAGAAATCTGCTGCATGAAGTTTTATTGATGAAACTTAAGGTAATGGAAATTTAATATCTGGACAAAACCCCTTTTCGTTTCTTCGACATATTTGGATAGAATGCATCAAGTTACATATATTAAGCTTTTGAAAGTTAATTTTCCATAATAATTAAAGTATTTTCGTACTGTTACTATAAAATAAGAAATTCGTTATGCGTTGGAGAAGATAGTCGAAGTTTGTACTTTACTACAGAGGAGATAAAACAAAATCATTTCCATTTTTTTTCCTAAATGTTAGCGTGAATGTACGTTGTAGAAGATCCTAGGGACTCCTACTATTCGTATTAAAGAGAAGAATTTGGAAGTTTTTTGGTAAATTTGGGTTTCTGACATATTCGACTTTTCGAGTATTCTGAAAAATCCTAAAAGTTTGACGCTTTGAATGCACAGTAATCAGAGCAATTATAAGAAAAGTTTTGTCATCTGAGATAGCGTTAAGTTTTAAGAAACATATAGTTCTTCTTAGCGTGATAACGTTTTATCAATAGCATACTTTATCAATACCATACTGTTGCAATGAAGTCCATCACTTCAGTAATAACGGCAAAGAAAATCAAAATGGTAGATAGAAAAATACAAACGTTTGCACTCAAAGTCTAATTACTGCTAATCTTTAGTAGACTTTTTCATGTACCATTCTCTCCCATTTTTTTGCTTGCTAGTGAGAAATTTAGTCTTAGGCTGAGAAAAAGAGAAATTTTTTATATCTTGGACTAGGTTGTTCTCCTGTTACACGCCGATCACACTGGCTGGCCGCCAGTAGGACAATCAGGGGTAACGGATGCTATCGGAAAAGAATCTTAAGGGACAATTTGACTTTATTGTCCCATGCACTGGTAAGCTTCGAAGATAAATTCACGACCTATATCAGAGTTTATCACAGAAGCACAAGCCAAACCGATGTCTTGACCAAACCGTATCGAGTATGACATAGCAACTGCTGTATTATACTCGATCTATCTAGTGGTAGATGCACGAGCTTGGCGGAAAGCAGAGATAAAACATTCAGGTTGTTTGTTACATCTAAATGCGCCGTTCGACTGCAAACTGGTTTTGGTTTGTTTCCAGTAAGAGTCAGGAAGAAAACCTGACACCATATGATATTTGTAATCTGCATCAAAAACTATTTTGATTTGCAAACTATTAGTTTCTAAAATTTGCTGCAGCATATCGTTGGTAGAAAAAAGTCTACGATGCATTTTAGTAAAATAAGTCGTACAAACAATGTTTAGATAGACGACCCGGCATGTCTCAATAGAACACAATCTAACTCATTTATCGTAGCGTTTGTAATCCTCTTTCTTTTGTACCTGATTTTCAGACTACCGATAAAACGTGGGAAAGGTCTCATTTTACTAAGAATTTGATTCTCTATTCATCTAGATATTTTTCAGAAAAACTGGGTTTTTCCAAAGTTTTCCCAACGGTTAACTTTTCAGAAAACCACTTGGAAGAAGTTAGCGTTTCCGTAAGTCATTGCACTAGAATCAGCATCGACTATAACCTATAAATCCATATTTTCAGGTTTCTTGAACCATCGGTGGCTGAGTTATTCACAGGTCATTTTCCACTTTTTTGGAACATGCTGAGTATTTTGCATTTTCTACCGTAAAAAATAAGACTACCGAAGTTGAGAAGTTGATATTAATAATCAGCTCATTCAGACCAATCTGAATATATAAGATAAATTAAAAAAATTTCTCCCAAAAAATATTTTTCCTATTCCAGTTAACTGGTGATGTATTAACTGTAACTGGTACATGCCTAATTAGAAGATTGCGCCATGAACTCGCGACTGATATATGAGCGCAAAAATTGCATACTATTATTCTTAGAGTGAAACAAAACCTCAATCATAAAAATGCGTCTATAGTAATCGTAGTAAGATTTCATTGCGATTGTGTCAGAAAAGTTGACTTGAGACAATATTTATGCTTCTTTACTTTGTAGAGTATTCTTTAGTGCAAGAATACTTACATTTCTGCCTTAAGAAAAAGTAGATAAGACATGTAATTTTTAATATTTTCTCTTTTATTTTTCTAATATAATTTGTAATAATAGGTACTGCCCAATGATGTATTTGGAAAGCAAATACTTGGTTTAATATATAATATTGGTGAAGTAATTAATAACGATAATAGTGTTAACAAATATTGAAGAATCATTCTTATTGAAAACTATTGCATTGATCTGGGTAACGATTTATTTTCGCTTGTACTCTGAAGAACTAAACTTGATTGTTAAAAATTTTTTGAGTAAAGGTCCATTTCAGGAGAATTTTCATAGTTTAATACCTTACTTATTGTATGTATTTACTCTTTCTTTTGTAATATTAATTCGAATTCTCTCTCCCTCAGTAGTTTTTTTCTTTGTTTTAGCTGAAAAAACAATTCCTGCCGCAGATCTGAATGAGGATTTATTATGTAGTGAATCTGAAGTTTTACAAAGCGATAATATTAAATTCATTGTATGTTTAATATTGCATCATATGTGTGGATGATGAGTAGTTTGTATGCTGATTTTCTATGTATCATTGTTGCTTATTTTAATTCAAAGATGAATGGAGCACTCACTGTATGTACAATTAATGCATCGACAATTGATTTAGCTAAAGAAATAGGAGAATCGAATATGTTTATTTTTGGTATGAAAAAAGAAGAAGATTCATGCAATAACAAATGGTAAGTGGAAAATGAGAAAACTAGTCTTCGGAAAAGACATTTAATTGGTTTTTCAGTTCATATGTTAGACAACCTATCGTCGAAAATAATTCTGATCTTCAAGAAGCTATTTTGCAGATTAAAAATGGATTTTATTCAAATAATTGTACGGAGTTATGTAAATATTTAAGTGATGATAATGGCAAGTAAGGAAATGTGAGAAAAATGTTGTAGTCACTAAATAAATCGTATTTAGTCATTACGCTATTGAAATCAAAAAAGAATTATTGCAGACTCATCATGACTAATTGCTGATTTTATCGTTCGATAGAAACAAAAAATGAAGTTTATCTGATTGTAGAAGGTTCCTCTTTTAAAATAGAGAAAAAATTTATTAGGATTTCATTTCTATACGTGTGAATGTATATGAACTTGTATGAATCAAGTATATAGCTAAAATCTCAGAAGTGTTAAAAAGCGGATCGTACTTTCCTAGCGCGAAAGACTAAAAATCTATTGCTTAGGTCTTTTCTTACTATGCTTATTTAAAAATTATCCAAATGGATTGCACGTATATAATCCATACAATAGTTATTTACAACAGTTAAGTTTACTTACGTGCAATCCATTTCTATATAGTTATATTGCGTCAACCATATATTTATTCAAAACGTGAAATTCGTTTAACGTACATGATACTAGCTGACTATGAAAGTTACGTTCAAACCCAAGAAAATGTTTCAAAACTATTTAAAGTAATATATATGCATGAAAAGGGAATTTTTGAGCTTATTTTATGGGTATTGTGACTTCTGTTTTTCTAGAATCCGATAGAATGGGTTAAGAAAGTTATATTGAACATTTCAACTTGTACAAAGTTTTCAATTGATTTTATTGTATTACATCAAGCTAACGAGTTATACAATTTATAGTTTTATTATTAGCGGTTGATCGAAATAAATCTGTTGTGGCCGGGAGGGGTGGCAGTATATTAAACCTGGGATGGGTTTTGCGTTTCGTATCAGAAAGGGTACGAATCACTGCCGGTATATGGATCTGTATACGGGTTAGGCTGAAAGAAATGGGTCAAGACAATTTTGTAAAATACAGATCTTACCGCATTCAGGGGATCATGATGAAATTATGTCGTTTTGTAGCGCTATTTATAAGTTATGTTTGATTAGTCCATTTAGATCCAACAGCTAGTGCGGTTCACGTCACTACTCAGAGAGACGGAACAATCGAATACTCTTTGCGGCGCCTTATCAGTTATTCCATATAGATTAATGAGAGTAGGTGGTCCCATCGACTAATGTAAGTTGCTGATTTCGGAAACGCTGGTGATGGCATCCTTGCATCCCTGATGGATTTGATGACGAGTATGACGAAGAGATTATTGATTTATCATTAGATGTGCTGTTGTGCTATCAAACTACTCAAGTGTTCTATATTCCTATAGCGCAATAGATGTAAAACATACCTTTTCCAGATAATCTCACTTTTTCATGTACCATAATGCGACCAATCCCATTCGGTGGATCACGAAGAATGATATTTGATTCAGATATCTTCTTTATTAGCTAAGTTCAATATTTCATTTACTCATTTCTTTTGTATATACTTCTTTCTTCTTCTTCTGCTTTTCGTTTTATAAAACTTCGTAATAGACTTAAATCATGTTTTACTCTAATCTTTCCAATTATTTCTGCATCTCAGTAGTAAACGGATGTTCTGTATTGCACGTTTATTCCGATTCCACTCTGTTTCTCCAAATCCAGCTCACCGCCAAAATATCAACGTTTAACATACCATCCACCTTCAAACGCACTATCGATCGATATAAATGTTTCTTTTTCTGGCGTCTTTCTACCAAAATCCTTGAATAAATGAGCTAATTCATGAATTAACACTAAAGATGTTCGTAAAACACAATATTGTCGTCTTCTGGTTCATAATTATTTGACGTTGTTCATCCATTGAAACGTTTTTTTTTTGGTATTGTTAAAGCATATAACACAGCGCGCGCTGTCTGAAAGCAATTTTTGTGATATCTAAATAATCAGTATATGAATAATCAGTATTACTTAAATTGTTAGGGGAAGACAAATAAGCAAAATCTGAAGTTGTTATGAAACGACTTGATCCGCTTTTTATGTCTGCTGACGTCCAAAATTCTATGCTAACATACTGTCTAGCATACTGGTAAAAACGAAACGCATAACATTACGAATGCAACAACTGATTTTAAAATCCTTACTATTTTGAACAAGGATCTAAGAAAGCTTTGAACAGATTTTTAATAGTGTCATGGTATGGGTCGGTTGTAATCGAATAGTGTATATAGGAATGAAACATTTTCGATGCAAATTTTTACAACCTTTTAGCAATTTTTTTCACGAGAAGCAAAATTCTGCTCGATCTCAAGAAGCATCTCCTTGATACCTTCTAGTATGATCTTTTATAATAAAATTTGTATTGTTGATCACCAACTGCATACTTGTTAACAACTTTTGTTGTTTATCAACAGATATATGTGACACATCGTGTTATGTTATGCTTTATATCAGATGGATGAATGAACTCCAAAGACCCGTATCCTATAGCACAACTAACAAAGAAGTAACTAAGTGTCAGTGAATGGTATAAAAGCTTACTGGACATACAAGATCACTAATCCTCTCACAGGATATTATCACGAAAAAAAAACATATATATAAAAAAGAACACTCTACATCACACAAAGTAACGAAGAAGAGTGATCGAAAAAAACAGTCAAACGAAACGGGTATTTTCACAGTAAAATCAGGATGGAAGAAAAGAAAGAATTGAATCGTAACAAAGAAAGAAAAGAGAAAATAGGAAATATAACTGTATATGTACATACATATACTAAAGAATGAATAGTATGGATAGCCTGGACGTGAAGAAGAAAGGACTACGAGTGAAACAGTGCAAAATGTCTCCCAGGCATAACACATCGGTTTATATTTTATCGATCTGACTAGCGTCACTTTCTTTATTTTTCACGTCACCATAAATACCATTATGAATATTTATATAAAGAGCCATTAAGTCACTATTTATTTTTAATACATTTGATGTGAATTCAATTATATATGGATGTTAACGAATAACCTTCGAATGCGGTACGTTCTACCTTTAGTTCTTTGAATTTTAAATTCAATGATTCGTTAAATTCCACTAAAACAAAATGACTGCTTATAATGCGGCATGCTATGCAATAACATTTTGCCGTTCGATAGTTGTATTCAAGGACATATGGCGAAGGTGTATCATTATGTACACATATACCTATACCATCAGAAGCTGAACCTTACTTGTTGTTGCTGTAGTATCGTCACGAGCTACAGCCATTGCACCACCGCTGTCACTTGCAGATGTATACTGGAAAAATTTACAATTAACTTTTATAGTATAAAAAGACTTACTCTGAAACGGTATATGCCACCCAAGATAGACTGGTCAATTTCATCCATTTTCTTCTAATCTTCATATTTGCTTACTGCAATTTGTTCCACGAGCATACCAAACTCATTCATATGCAATTCGGTTGCATCCCTAAAATATAAAATAATAGATTCTTTTCTATTTTAGACGGTTGGTTGCACTAACTGGCGGTAGTTGCTATGTATTTTTGCTTGGCGGATGACACGATGAAAATCAGTGACACAAGATGATCCCCAATATCTTTTATTATCAATTATACCGGCGAATAAAAGTTTAGCTTCCGCTAAAGATGCCTGCTTTTTGTTCGCATCAGGAAACAGTATCTCATACTTGATATTTGACATCATAAAGGGTGTTTCATAAGTTTCGACCCCTCTCTGTAAACTGAGGTTATTTATATGAAACATACATAATAAAATTCAGCTGCTTTTTGCAAAAGATTCACCATTTAATTCTCTACAAAATGGTNATAGGAGCTGATCCTGAGACTTGTGATTCCGTCTTAATTGAACAGAAATCGAAATGCCCCACAACTTTCAAAAAATAAAAAATTTTCCGACGACCATTTTGAATTTTGAAATCCATGTCAAAAGTGATAGAAAAAAGATCTCATGCCGTTTCTTGGCATATTTAGATATCCTCTATGAGCTGGGACAAGATTCGTTTAATCCCCATCTGTTCGATGTGGTGAAAACGTTTAGTTAATAATTGGCAGCCAAAAATGAACAACATGGTAGTTTCGGCGTTTCGATTATTTTCAGGGAAGCGTCATCAGACATTTCGCACGCGAATCAAATAGTTAAAACGTTTCTCTTCAAAATGACGCAAGAATGAGCGTGATTCGTTCTTTTCTGAGTGAGCACTGTTCATTTTACAAACAGCTCCAAAATGCACGTTGAAAAAGCTGTAAAAACGGTCACTGGGCTTTTACAAAAAGCATTACTGAAAACACGCAAATAACGACAGAAAATTCGCATCATACGCATTCGATAGAGATTTCCAAGGGCTACATTTTGGCCTATTCGGTGTGGGCACAATTCAAGCTTACACTGACA